ATTATTATGCAAACTTTATATTAAATGATATTTCGGTAATTGTTAAAAAAGTAACTGTAGTTTATGTATGTATGTATGTATGTATGTATGTATGTACTTACATAAATGGAGACACTTTGGTCTTTGTCTCCGAATCTTTAGTCAGTTATTGACACGATGTAAAAAATCATTAAATAGAGAAGTCTTCTGGGGGTCCGAGTTGCTCGTCCGTGAGAATTGACCTTTCCAATGATTTGTTTTTGGCGTATAAAGTAGATAAAAGATAAAACAAATCAATTATGATTTATTAACTTGTATTAACAGGTTAATGCGGATCTAGACTCGGGAACATGAACTAGCCGACGTACTAAGTACGTCACGTAAGATACACCAGTTTACATGACTTAGGAAATCACATAGTTAGAGGGCCAACAAAGCAGACAACAGATTTTCTGTGTATCTGAATTATTTGCCAATATTACTTTCAAGGGAAATAATTAAAACTGGTATTGGGTAATAATATTGGCTTGTTTATTTGACTCCTTGTGTTGCTATGTCTGCACAAACATCGGACAACTTGTATCATTGCTCACATCATATTTGAAAAAATGGAGGAAACCGTGTAAAATAAAACAGTAAGAAATTGAGACAAATTATATGATGTTTGATTTAGAGAAGGCGGATGGGATCGTCTGCAGGCAGGGGCCAACAATCAGTGCGGCATAAATGGATGTGAAAGTTGAGCGAGACGAGGCGAGACGAGGCGATCGGCGAACTCAGCTCACAAAGTGTAAACAAAATCGGGCTCGTCGAAGCGATTTCCAAAGGAGACGGAGGAGAGTTGCGAGGCGACGTCGTAACCCTGTAATTGTAATTCTCTCTCCCCTGTGCGCTGAACGGGAACTGCACGGTACATATTTCTACTACTTTCCATTATATATCTATTTTATTTTGATTCGTAATACTCAACGTTGCGTTTGAATAATCAATCTATGTAGAAGTGAATCCGAGGAAAGGTATTTTGATTTAGCATCCGATACATCGCAAGTATATAAGGTACATTATGTTAAGACAATTCAGTGCATCATCGCGATCTAAGATAATTTTAATAAGAAGTTCCATGCTCCCCCCCGCCATAGTCGACTAAATAATGATTTGCATTAAAAATTAAATCAAGTTTTTATATTATTTGCACTTATCAAAGGTAAAGTAATTAAAAAGCTTAATAGCATCATAAGACGTAGAAAATTATAAAGTAGTTTTAGATGTCGATTCTTAATTAAACTTGCCATGTTGTACCTAGTTCGGTTTGTATTTTCCACGCTTCAAAGAAAAGTCAGACTGAAATGAACGTGGGCGGACATTGGGAAACTTTTTAAAAAAGCTTCATTTAGTATCGGTAAAGCGGACGGTCTTTAATCATTTTAAAATGCCAAAGTTAAGAAAACTTCCACACACGATTTAGTTTGTAATATGCTGGCGGTCTTTGGAGAGAGAAAACAAATTACGACGTCTTCCCGCTCTTCTACATTAAAAATAGGATCCTCGATCTAAATAATGGCTAACTTTTTCTTAACAAACAACTTAGCAAAGCCTATTCAAATACTGTTCAGTAATTAACGTATGGGGGACAAGCATACCAACATTTTATTTTATTATTATGGATTACGAACATGTAAACATTATATGTCTCCATTTTGCTGGGCCCCGAAAAGTCTTTAAGGAGTTATTTTTTGGGCCCATTAAGTATGGGGTCGTATTACCCTTGGTGCCATCTGTAACATGTTATATAGACAAAGCTGTGGTAATTGATGACTAAGATGGCGGCATTCCGCCGAGTGAACCATTTTCCCTTTGTAATTTGGCAAGTGGTAGGTAGTATCGAGTGTAGTGAAACGTAAGGCCGGCACGGCAGCGGCACTTGTATCACTCTCCATCGATTAGTGCATTCACAGTAATCCATATTCAGCCGTCAAAGCTGGCAAGCTGAATACATGTAGCGATTACATACATACATGGTACGCGTATCTACCAAAACCAATATGCGATTGACTCGCTCGCTCGCCCGTTCCATTACTAATTCTACATTAATTGCTTCCTTCACAAGTATATATATCTCATAGTAATATAGTTACATACATACCTTATTAATTAATATTATATTACTACAAACTGCCGGTGCTTTTGGTTTACAAATTGTGCGAATATGGGGAATATTCTGTATACCTATAAACATGGCAACTTACTCCTTTTCTTATGCGAAAAAGTGGTTATTTCTATATGCGTCAGTATAGTGAGCAGAGGCATTTCTTTATCTTTATCTCTGTGAATTTGGGAAAAATATACAGTATGGATGCATTTGGCATACATTTATCTTCGCAGACAATACAAAATAATGAAATACATATCGGATATTAAAGTAACGACAACAAGTAGGAAAACACTTGTGTCGCGTGCGAGTAGCGAGTAGCGCGCGGTCCGCACGCACTATAGAATCATCGACATGAGTAGTCACTGCTTTTCTCACAAATATCATGATAACTAGGTAGGTACTATCTCACTGTATTGCATTAATTGTTTACCGACTACAATCACCGTGATTCGAAGATTTACGTTGCCTACTGTACGAACGCCTCAATTGTGATTCCGGTTCCAAACAATTGTTGCCGTTTGTCGTACATTAAATAAGGAGGATTGATGCTCAAAAGTTAAGATAATTGTGTTGCTTATCTTTAAGCAGCCACAAAATGTTGCAAAGTTTAATCGTCTACACAATTTGCAACAAACGCCTTCGTCGCGTCATCAACAATAAAAAACATACAGAGGAATTGAGAACCTACTTACTCCTTTTTGAATCGGCCAATAGAAATAGAATAAATAGAATAGATTCGAATTATTATATAGTTTTCACAGTTCAATGGGCATTGAGCAGCGATAGGAAATTCAAAAAGGAAACTCCAAACACGGAGGTGAATTCAATCATAGAACGGTCTATCAATTAGTCGCTGGAACGTTTCACCCCGGCGGCGGGTGGAGGCGGGTGGAGGCGGCGGGTGGAGGCGGCCGGCGTCAGTACTCCACCAAATATGCGCCGCATACAATGCAGTGCAATGAAAGCAGTACATTTCAGACGTACAGATTTAGTGAAATACGCGTACATTTGTATCGTAATATTGAATGATGTTTGCAAAGTAGATCAGGGGTGGCCGAGTAATAAGCACCCCCTATTGTTAATTCTTACGAATAATATAAATGCGAATGTTTACATGGATGGATGTTAAATGTTTTTCAGCAGGTAACTCCAGAATGGCTAAACGAATCTCGATAAAATTTCGCATAGATGTAGAACTAAGATCCACGGATTTTTTTACTGGAATTTATGATCGGCCACGTTTCATGTGAAAGCCCGTACACACTTGCAAATGTTCGGATTATTGAAAAATAGATTTTTGTGCACTTAATTTCCTCAAAACTCTGTAACGAGCTCAGATTTCTCTTACATAGAATCGTGATCGGTTGCCGGAATCTTGGGGCCCTGTATGGAAGTTTCTTTGTTTGATGGGACTACTTGATTGGGCGCAAAATTTTTCTTTTATGTTGAAGTGCATAAACTCGCTCGGATAAACGGCAAAATCCCCGCTTCGCTTCCACAACAGTAGAGCGGTTGTACACAAGGAAACGTAAATCTTCGAAACCTGGTGACATAAGTCGCTAAGCGACTTAGACAATACGATGTCACAGAGGTTAGATGTCATACAGCACGCACCTAATACATACGTATGCACGATAATGTACCTTTTTAATTCCTAAAGCGTTTTTGAAATGGATCCAGTAGTCTGTCAGTTACTTGTAACATACAAAAATAAATATATTTTCTGTTTATGATATTTGTATTGATAAACATTGAAATGAAATCATTTGCCAAATCAATCATGGCAAAATTTTAAGTATGTATTAATTAAGTCTGATCCCTACACCGTGGTATAGGGAGCTAATGAACAATAATCCGGACAGAGACTGATCATAACGAATATTGAGCACCCTGCGCGTTTACAAAATAAGCACATTTTGATACAAATGAATACTGGAATGTAATTAAACAGTATTACCGGCCGTCAGAATAGGTCTGGTATTTTGCGCTGCCTAATTCACCGGCAAATATTCAATTAATTCGTCGGCCAACGTTACTCATCGATATCGCAAACTGTGATGGTGATTCGCTCTCCGTCGCTACCTCTACCTACCGCTGCTGCTGCCGCTTGCCTTGTTATATGGACGTTTGTAACATACATTATATACATTGAATGGACATTTTAAATGATTTCGGTCTGCTATTACATACACGTAAATATACAATATCTTTTAAAAGGCTATATGTCAGTGGAGCTATTAGAAAGTAGGGAGCGGTCGAGTGGAAGAGGGCGACACTTGGCGGCACGCTCGAAAGCGGAGGGCCGCACTCTGACGCAAAACTTACGCCTTATTAAGTGACAAGCAAGGAGCCGACACAGGCGAGTACTAAATGTCCGCCCGTATAGCTTTTTCCAAGGTTTTAATGGTATCATCATCATATTAAAAATTGTTCTTCTAATACCATACATGTTTAAATAAGTAAAAAGCGAAGCGAGCCAACGGGTAGTAATTTGTAACGTTCAATTCGTAGAATTCGCGCAGTAACGTTTTTGGATAGAAAAAATTATGTTTTTTTAAATAAAAATTAATATGTTTTAAAATTTTGTTGAAAAATTGTTTGACTGCTTTTTACTGTTATTTCTATATACAAAAAAAACTGTTAAAGACCTTACAAATAGCAAGTGCATGTTTTTTTGTAAATAGATAACAAATAAATATATTGATAACTGTGGGTTTCCAATGCAGCGATTGTGTTGACACATGTTGTCGCATCTGTTTTCTCGAAGGGAATGCATGGAAACCGCCGTGATATACATGTATCTTTGGATGTAACCAACCATCTCAATGTTCGCGGCAATCCTGTATATGACAAGTAAAGATATTGTTACCTAAGGGTTCGTCGGGCTGTGCGAGCGGGCGGCGCGAGGGCGAGGGCGAGGGCGAGGTCTTGCGGTGCGTGTGCGGCGCGGGCGGGGGCTGCGTGTGCGGCTGCGGCTGCGGCTTGAGCACGTGCACCGGCACCGCGCCCTGCGCTGCCTCCCCCGTGCCAGGCACGCGCACCACCCACCACTCGGCGCGTGCCGCCCACGGCTCCACCAGCTCCACCTGCTGGCCCTTGCTCACGCTCAGCTCACCGGCGGACGCGGCCGTGTGCTCCGCCACCACCCAGCTCATCTGCGTCTCGGGAACGGCCTACAACAATTTTTTTTTGTTTCATTTCATATTTCAAAAAAGCATTAGTCATGTTCGTACAGAACATGTGGTTATTTTATAATTCATAGTATTCGCCGACTGGTTTATACCATAAAGTGAATGTATAATGCTGTTCAGAGCTTCATCCGGAACTTGAAATTATCAAATATGAATGCAGAGTAATGGGATTTCACCGAAATCATAAATTTTATCTATTACTAGCTGCCGCCCGTGACTCCATCCGCGTGGAATTAAAAACAAACTTAATAAGTAGCCTATCTATTCATTCACCTAAAGGTTCGCATTTACAATAATATAAAGAAATATTAGGATTATTTTAATGGTCCATAGCCAATCTATGAAGATAAAATGAATTAGTGAGAATACAAAACATTTACATGCCGGATTAGTTCTTCACTGAAAACGGAATTCCGACTTATACGCCCCTAGATATGTTCTCATAATGAGGAAAATATGGAGTATAACAAATATGAATTCTAAAAACGCCAGGCTTTCGAACGGGAAAACGTCCAGCATCAAAGTGGAAGTAACATTTCACAAAGCCGCTTTGAGCGTACCAAGCCGGCTTGGCGGCCGCCCCACCGCCACGCCGTGCCGCCCCGCCACCTTCGTCCGAGTCCCCGGTAGCCAATTAGTTATTTAATCGTTACAAGAGTTCTTTTAACTGTAACTGTATATATATTTTGTAAAAAAAACGTGGACGCCGGGAGTCGCGTACTTATTGTGTATCGATTCGTGTTTAGATCATTATTGATACGGAAGCTTACACTAAAATGATATACAGATATACCTTCATTATTTGATTAATTAGATATCGAAGGTTTTTGTAACATGATTTTATGCATATTAAATATAATAATTAACCTAAAAGTGTAAGAACGATGTAAAAGCGCAGCGGTGAGATTAGCCGCATTGTGCTGCGAGTTGTAAATACACTATTTGCACTACATATACTTCTTTGATTCTTAATGTGACGAAAATTTAGCCTTGTTGGTATATATATGACGTACAGTGATGATAATAAGTCTGCCAAGGGATCAGTTTGTTTTCCATTTTCCATAACATTCTTACTGAAGGAATCCATTTTCCGTCCACATATTACTGAAAAGTAAAATGTTTCTTTTTTGTTTTCCATCATGACAGTCCATGTAAAACAATCGATACTAGATTATGACTAATTGACACTGAATCGTCCGTAAATTATTATTCATGAATTTTTATGTCCGTGTGTACATAAAGAATTCACGTAAATGTGCCATGAAAGTAGAGGAGCAGCTCGCGGGCGAGGCACGGCTCTCGATTCAAGTCAATACGTCGAGCTTATAGATAAACGAATTTAGCAATATGAGATAAGGCATCGATAAGGCCTTACAGTCACAATGAAACAAACGTATAGAGGGCCATGTAACAGTAGAGAACGTGCGCGCCGCCAAATGGAAATATTGTGCGCCGTTACCAATATTGAAATGTAATAGCATTAGGTATCTTAAACGTTCTGCAGACGTAAAACGATAAGGTTCGATATATATTTGTCGGAAAAGAGGAAATGTGTATTACGAGGCAAAGGATCCCTCCGGAAATGCCGCGTTACACCGCCGCGGCTCCACTCCAGTCGTCAAGCTTTTCTTGTTCTTCTCCAACAAATTTATTTGATTGAATTTTGACATTTAATAAGCGTTTGTTAATTATGATGCTAGTGTTATTGAAGAAAGCCACCGCTTAATTATTTCTTCCTTGACTTACTTGGTGTCAGTTTTTCTATTTAAATATTTTAAAAGGGGGTGGAACGTCGTTCATTGAAGGATTATTAAAAACGAAGAACAGATCACTTTTATAGCTTGTAGTTTGCACTCGGTATCAAATTATTATTAAACAAGAAAGCAGTGAAGGAGTAGATGATATGACACGTGAGATCAACATTCATCTTCCTCATTTTGTAGTACTACTTCACCGCTCTCGATCGGCTCATCTTTTCTATAATAACGTGTTCAGCACACCGACCTACCTGTGGCGTACAATCAATTCTGTATAAAATGTGACTCGATCGATCGATCGATCGATCGACGCTTCGGCGTGACTGGGTACTAGACTAATTAAACATTTTTATGTTATAAAATAAAACAGTTTCCGTTCTGTAAACCATTTAAACGCTTCAATAGCTAAAAGTCTTTGACGAACTTTATTTGAAGATGAATTCGAAGTAATTAATTAACTTTGAAATGGAACTTTATGAGTTTAGCATAAATTACTACTTAAGTTATGAAGCTGTTTCGTATTTACATTGAAACAGCGACGCTATTTGCAGACTTAAAAACAGAAAAGCAGCAAGCAAATTGCTTGTAATAAGAAATTTTAGTATTGAAGTACGTATGTATTTATATTTTTGAATTTTAAGAGCTATCCTCGTCGCGATATCAACAAACCTTGCATATTTCAGGATCAACTACAGCATAACTTCGTACACATAATATATAGGTACATAAGTATATCCAGCAAATGTAACGAAGGGACCAACTTTCCTGACATCTCAAAGGTATTAATTGTAAACTGTAGCAATGAACCTAGCCTGGCCCCGCACCGCCATACCTAGAAAATTTAATTAAGTGGGGGAATGAAATTCAGTGCTACCGGTAGTTGTGTTAGCCGAATATTACAATAAGCTGCATCACATACTCAAACTCAAACAAGGGTCACCCTTGTCATCGCTGCTTATAGCGGACCGGATAACGATTTGTACATTTTAATTCATAACGTCTACTTAATTTAGACCAAAAACTGTGTAGATGGTATTTATTACAGCTACGACCGTATTCTATTATTTATTATGCAGGAAAAGCCTTCATGAAAATTATTGCCTCGTTTTTTTTAGTTATAAATTAATTCGTTTAACAAAAATGGTTGGAGTTGATTATCGAGTTCAGTACAAAGTTTCCATACAAAAGCATTTGTTCGGATTCCCATTTTAACAGCGTTATAAACAGGCACAGGCAACAGAGCGAAGGCAGGCGGGACTCACTAGTTCGTCTCGTATTTCACCTAACATCATGTAGTTAGAACCTAGCATTTGTTAAAATTAATAATAAGGTAATTAAAACTTTAATGCGATATTTTTATTTATTTATTATTATTTGGGCCCTCTATTAAAATTATTGGTCGAATTAATGATTTCTTTATATTTTAAGTAGAATAAATAATTAAAATATTCTTTTAACTAATTTGTTGCGGAGAGACTGACAGACACTCAAAGAGACAAAATTGGTTTTTGTCATAAGTGAGAAGATTTTCTTGTTGAGTCATGTAGTATTATATTAAAATTGCAGTAAATAGTTTGATCTATTATATGTTATGTTTCGACACCTGACACGTATACGGGAGTGTTTAAGCCATTCATATATTATTTTAATAAAAGTGAAATATTTCTGAAATAATCGAAGACTATTTTTCAATTACAGTTTATGCAGTAGCATTCAATTGATAAAATAGATTTGCTTTGGTTATGATAATGTAAATAACGGTATACAAAAAGAGAAAATAAAAAAATCAAGTTAAAATCAAGTTTAATTTAAACTTTATGATAAAATGAAATTTAACATCGCATAGCATCCAAATAATTCCATAAGAAGGCAAACAATGTGGAGCATTTTGTTTGTGAGGAAAGATATATTCAGTGCGGCATTGCCCATGCCCTGAGGATGACCGCCTCAGGGCATGAGGCATGTCATATACAACGCCGGCATTGAAAGTGTAAACATCAACGATGGCCTATATTCAAACATACCAACTATTAATATTTTACACATCTTTCAATGGAAATCATACAATGACGTTTTTTTTTCAAACTGTATCCAGAATAGGTTTTATCATCGGAAAAATTATAACTTGTTTTAATTATTCTACGATATTATTCAATAAGGTGATCGCTATGGTAATAAGAACGAAAGGCTTTGTAATCCTATATTTAGATAGACTTATGATTAATTCTCAATCCTTCGAAAGACCAAATACGATTGACTCTAGACATAAATTGCTAGTTTTCTGAATAAACTATATACTATTTCCACTTGCGCGCTCATAATTTCCATAGAAGGGGTAATCGCGTGCGACCGGAGCAGCTACTAGCTCACCAAGCAAAACGAGGTCGACGGGCTGCCTCCCTTTTAATTTTTTTTCAGGATGAGATTCTGAAGACGACTATGTATAAGGGTTGAGTTTTTTATAGGATAAAAGGAGCAACGCGCCTGACGTTAAATATTCCGACGCCGATGGACATCTGTAACACCAGAGGCACTAGCAGATGCATTTTCAGCATCTAATTCAAATCAAATAGAATTAAGTCTTTACAAAATAAAGCGAAGAGGAAAAATAGTGATACTACAATATGATAGATAAGATAGTAAAAATGATACGAGCTGCGTTTTATTACATCGTTTTGAACAATAGGCGAGTCAACTGTTATTGCACAAGCGCCTTCGTGTTGTGATCTGACATCGACTCCAACGCGCATCCGCACCTGAATGTTTAACCATTTATAAGTAAACGCGTTGCATTGCTTCCTCCTCATCTTTGACAACACTTCGCTTATAACAAATCCATACTCGGGGATTTATAGAACGAAATGTTATCGTGTAATGTATAATATATGTAAAATAACATATGCACGGATTTAAAACTGTTAATTAGCATTAGCCACTTTTATTTTACTCGTCGTTTTAAAAAAAATGTGCAGTGATCATTTATTTGAAAAGAGCTCACGACAATATATTCTACTCGTATATATTCAAAAGGATTATCTTAGAAAATTTGTTCATTAACTTTGCTTTCTTTCCTCCGGTGTAATAAAAATATAAATAACATTAAAATTTGTAGCAACTATTCCAGCTGACCGATGATACCTCGCGATGCAAATCACATAAACAAATTAAATAAAGTAAAACAATAAAAATATTTTGTAAAGTTTGCATCATTAAACGCGATATATT